GGGCGGAGAGTGAGGCGACATCGGTTCGGGACTGCTGCCCGGCGAGGCGGTAGCGGACGTCGGCTGTCCCAAAAGAGGCGTCGACGGCGGCTGACTCACGTGGTGGTGGTACCTGGTGATCGGTGGTGGCTGCTGACTGTGGCCAAACACCGCCGCGTTGCTCTGATGATGATGATGATGATGATGATGATGTTGCTGCTGTTGTTGCTGCTGCTGCTGATGCGCGGCCAACGATCTCAGGGTCGAGTAAAAGTCGTACGGGTTGCGGCATTCGGGCAACGGTATACCGGCGGCGATGCCGGCGGGATATCCAGCGGCGGTCGGAGGTTGAAGCAACCTCTCCATGGAGAACGGGCCGTGTTGGGGAGGCGCGGCTGCGGTGGCTGGCAGCGGCTGCGGTTTACACGGCAAACTGCTAGCGACCGAGTTGTTGTTGGTGGTGGTGGTGGAAGCCGCGGCAGCCGCAGCAGCCGCCGCCGCTGCCGCTGCCGCCGCGCCGGGTAACAAACTCGCTGGATAGCCGGCCGGAGTGGAGGAGTAGGCGCCCCCGGTCGTTGCCGGCGGATAACCGGCGGCAGCTGCAGCCCGATGCAGATACGGAAGCGTGTAGAGCGAGGCTGGCCAACCTGGCGGCCCGTACGCCGACGGGTACAACCCGCCAAGGACGACGCTCCTCTTGAACGCGGCCAGTCGCGACCTCGACGCGGCCGTCGTCCTCCTGCGGAGCTTGCCGGTCGTCCCGCCGATGAACACGTCCTCCGAGCTCGGGTCCAGCATCCAGTAGTTCCCTTTGCCCGGGTCGTCGTAATGGCGAGGCACCTTCACGAAACACTTGTTCAACGATAGATTGTGCCTGATGGAGTTTTGCCAGCCCTGTTTGTTGTTCTCGTAGTAGGGGAAATGACGCATAATGTACTCGTAGATACCGTTCAGGGTCAGCCTCTTCTCCGGGCTTTGCCGAATGGCCATCATGATGAGCGCGTTGTAACTGTACGGCGGTTTCTCGCACTTTTTCTTCTCCTCCGATCCTTGCGCCACCCTTTGATCCTTTGATCCTTCTTTCTGCTCGCATGAATTTGCCGCTCCTGGCGTCGTGGTAGTGGTGGTGGTGGTGGTGATGGTCGTGGTTGTCGTGCTCATCATGTTGTTAACCGCCACCGAGTTCCTCGAGCAGTCCAACGGTGGCGGCGTCTCGTTGCCATTCCCGTCACCGGTCACGTCCAGATCGCTGGAATCCTCGCTGTCGTCGACGTGACTGATCTCGGGGGATGCCGATCGGCTGACAACACTCGGCGCTGGAGTGCCAGCGCACGCCTCCGGCAGGATGCTGCGGATGCTGAAGCTGCTCTTGAGGGCAGCTCGCGGCGGCGGCGAGGCTGTCACCGTTTGCTGTTCGCTCGATCCTTCCATATTCACCATTCTTTCGACGCGATTCGACGCGATCTTTCCTTTTTTTTTCCCCAACACTTTTTGACCACCAAACGCCTCGCGAGAACGCGTGAACGCGGATGCAGACTCTTTCTTTCTCTTTCTCGAATCTGCTTTGCTTCGGAAGAAGTAAGTCGCGACCTAAGCACACAAAAACGATACGTCGAGATTCACTGTGTGTATGTGTGTAAGGGGCGCAACGCACGACCGTTTTTTGCACGCACAGCACTACTCGTAAACGTAAAAAACCCTTGGAGAAGCAAGCCTCGTCGTAAACCCGCTGCGGGTCGTTCGTTTCTCCCCTGGTGGTGAACGACGCTCGACTGTGGTAAACGACGGGCAGCAATGCTGCCCCGACGGAGCCTAGACCGCGTATTCGCCGTCATCCCCGCCACCCAGTCCATATATATCGTCTGTCTAACCACGCCCCCCGAGCCCTCGATTCCGTACAAACAGCCACCGATCGGACCAATCGGAGCGAGCCTCGCGCGCCTTCCACCGACCACGTCTTCTCTCCCCACCGCGCCGCTTTGCGGCCAATGTTTGACAGTAAACTGTGCAAACAGCGTGCAGAGTTACGACGGAGGCAGGGATTTCCAAGGTGGCCGATCTCCCTCTCTCTCTCTCTCTCTCT